GGTGAAGGCGACATGTACAACAAAGAGTACATGGAGGTCCTTAAAAAAGTTACCGATGATATTTTCTTTATTCCAGGGGTGAATCGACCTACCGTTAAGTCATTGTTTACGCCCAATACGATTTATCCTCAAGGTAAAGCCTCCTCATCCGAACCCCTTAAAAACAGTGACAAAAATAAAAAAACATCACTTAAATCGATTTTCTTATGAGTTTCGCCAAATCACTTCTTGGACAGACAAATGCGTTTGCAGGATTTGTTTTGTGTGATCAGCCTTGAGCGGTATCTGCTCGGTTTTCGACCATAATTCATAATGCGATTGTCCATTTTGATCTCCAAACGCATGTAATGTCATCTTATCCAAGCTTAGATCTTGTGTGGATTGAACAACTTGCGCAAGAGGAATAAGGCTACCCGCTTTCACAAAGAGGGGGATCGTTTCTAGTGGGCTATTGACCGTTAGCCATTGCCCACCTTGATACGATTGTCCTGTCCAGAAATCATACCAAAGCCCTTTGGGCAGATAAACCCGTCGCCACCATTCGGTCGTCAAAATCGGTGCGACTAACAAATGGTCGCCACACATAAATTGGTCATCGATGTTGTACGTACTGGGGTCGTCTTGATACTCTAGCACCAATGCTCGCAACAATGGCAAACCTTGCAAGATAGCTTTGCGACATTCACTCATGAGATAAGGAATCAGTTGGTAACGCAAATTCAAGAAGTTACGCATAATCTCTTGCGCTTTTTCACCAAACAGCCATGGCTCACGGAAGGGGTAACATCCATGATAACGAATATGGGATTGAAAAATGGACAATTGTGTCCAACGCACCATCAATTCATCTGTCGGTGTGCCCACAAAACCACCCGTGTCTTGACTCCAAAAGGTAAAGCCTGACAACCCTAGGTTTAGCCCACCATGCAAGGATCCCATCATACTACCAAAAGTCGCAGAGTTATCACCACTCCACACGACCGGATAACGTTGGGAACCAGCATATCCAGATCGCCCCCACACCATGGCTTCTTCCTCACCAAAATAATCCTTAGCTGCTGTATAAGCAGCCCGATTGTATAACATTGGATATAAATTATGGATTTTTTTGCCATTTCCTGCTTTAAAGGTCATGCTTGGGTGTATGCCTTCACCAAAATCGGTTTTTATCGCAGACACACCCTGCTCAAACAAAGGTTTCAATAAACGTTCACGATACCATGTAGCCGCTTCTGGATTGGTAAAGTCTATGGGCAGTCCCTCGTAAACCCCCACAAAGACAAAAGGAACTTTGTGAGATGTCGCTAAATACCCTTTTTCCACAGCTTCATCCCATGCCCATGTACCCTTAAGGACATAGGGGTTTTGCCACACCGTAAATTTAAATCCCTGCGTATTTAACTTCGTAATCATAGCTTTAGGATCTGGAAAACGTGTTGGGCTAAAACGCCAGTCGCAACGCCAACTTTTATCAAACCAAGTAATATCGACGTGAATCACATCCGCAGGAAAACGTTTTTCACGGGCCACTCTTGCCACTTCCATCACTTGGCTTTCATCGGCGTACGACATCCGTGCCAACCAAGTACCAAAGGAATACTGCGGCGGCATAGCTGCTTTTCCTGTTAGGATGGTATAGTTATTCAAAATTGGTTTCATAT